ATCAGCCAGCCAAGCGGGCAGAATCCACTCAGAAATGCTCAAATGTGCAGAGACAGGAGATTGGAAGATTTTAATTCCTCTCAACTCAGCCTCAAGAAAGAGCAATTGCTTTTGTCTCCTGCCCGGCTCCCCCGTCTGGTGAATGGAATACATGGGCTTGGGAGGCGGGGGGAGAACTCCCTTCAGCCCCTGTTAAGGCAGGCTGAAGTCATCGGGACCAGGTTACTGGGAGGAACCCATGGGCTGAGCTACCTCCTCCCCTTTCCCCTATCATAATAAAGCCACAGTGAAAGGAGAGGTGAAGGGGCCAAGTCTTTGTGTCTGCTAGTTTCTAAATGGAGATTAGGACAGCCTGGAGTCGTGAAAGGGACAGTGTGGAGAAAGCCTGGGGACTGGCCACAAAACAAGCATCCCCCTGGGAAGTCCAGAGCGCAGGGAAGGGGCAGGAGGCAGCACCTTAGGACAGACCTTTACAATAAAGGATAAAGGGTAGTCAGCCGCAGCAGTTGCGTTGAGCAGCTTGAGAGCAGCAGGGAGCGCTGGGCTATTGTAAAGCTTGAGTAGAAGAGGAATATGCATGTTCTGGCATTAGCTTCCCTAGGAGCAGGCAGAAGAAAAATAGAAAAACTTGAGGACCAGGGCTGTGGGGAGATGACTGGTCTAGAAAGCAGCCTGGATTTTCACACTGCTCCATTCTGGTTTGGGAGTGCAGCGGGAAGAGCTTGGTCATCAGCTCATGCATCCCAGGCCAAACCTTGCCCTCAGTTACATGACTGTAATGCCACCTTGACACCACTGAACTCAGCGGAGTTACTTGGCCTTTACAAGGGTGTGAATGAGACCAGAATCCATCCCATTGGATCAGAGTCTTTCCAGTGCATCCTGGGCACTGGCCCATAAACCTTCCCTTTCTTAATCAAAAACCTTCTCTCTCTTGCCTTCGCCTTGTCCTTGATTTCCAATCTGGGTGTCCTAGCCACAGCAGGTAAATCCTGCTAAAAAATCACTCTTTTTCACCTTACCTGCTTTAATGTCCCTGTCTCCAAGCTCCAATTCTTTTGGCGGGCTGCATTTGCTTTAGGTGTTTTTTTATTAGTAGTAGTAGTAGTAGTTTGTCCTGAAGTATTTTTTAAGCAAAATGTTTCTTGGCTCTTTGGTCACTCACTTAGAGCGAAAAGGCCAAATTCATCCCTGGAGAAGCTGCATTGGCTCATGCTAGCAAAGGAACAGAAGTGGGTAAATTGTTCAATGACAAGACAGAGGGAATGAAAATAATGTTTTTATTTAAATGGCAAGCCAGCTGCTGTGACAGCAAAAGATTTTGAATGGTAAGGTACATCTTGATAAGCAGTCTACCAGCTGTAATCTCATCGCTCTTTGTTATGACTCTTTATTATGAGGTAGACAGAGAATGAAATCTTGAGGAAAGCTCCTTATGAGAAAGGCATATGGATAATCAGAGATAACCCAAGAAAAGGCAGACAGTGGATGAGTTAATGACAACAGACATGGCGAAGGGAAGAATGAACAGGTGGAGGGGAATGGTATAAACAACATGTTGAGCAGTGGTATGTGGTGTCTCAGAGATGCAGTTGCAATAGTACTGCAGGGACATGCTCAATTTGCAGTGACTAGAGGTTACCTGCTAGTAGAAAGTTATGCATGAACTTGGGATGTCTGAATAGCACATCAATATCTGACTATTCAACATATGTTATGTTGTCTCCCTTCATGTACTTTATTCTACCACAGGGGAACTACAGTTGCTCAAGTTATTAGCATGTCAGTAGAAATAATACCATTATCCATGGTCACCTCTAGGACTTTATGGTTGTTGCTATGCTGTACTCCACAGCCACCCTTAATTTCACAGCAGAGTGGAACTCAGATCTTGTGCTGGAGCAAAGGAGGATCTCAGGTAGCTATTAGCTATTCTTTGGCACATGCAGTGACTTTTTATCACCAGCTTTTCCTTCCTCTCATCTAAGCTTCTGACTCGTTGTCTCCTGAATCTGTGCCTCTGCCTTCCCCCCTTCCAAAGCATGGCCAACCTGCAGGACAGCCAGGCCCCTACTGCTTACTGCACCTTACACTACATCTACATACTAGCACTAGCTCAATGGTAGTGTAGCCAGGATAGCGTGGACAGTGGTGGCATGGGCTTAGCCACCCTGAATATGAATCCCTGGGGTTCGGGCAGCTTTGGATGCAGCACAGTTAGCCCGTGCTGTCACTATCATGGGTACACTATTATTTTGAGTATGCTAGCTTGATGTGAGCTAGCGCAAGTATGTCTACATGAGCTGGGAATCACACCCAAGTATAGACATAGCCTGAGAGGCTGTCCCCTGCCTCTTCTTTCTCAAACCCCCAGGCTCAACATGAATGCAGAGGAGGCTAATGTAGTCCCCACTGAGAACCACTACCATTCTCCACATAGGCAAGGACAGGGGGTTCCAGTCAACAGACAAGACACAAGAAGGGGACAGGTTTTCCTACTCCTGTTCCCCTGAGTGGAGACCAGCCAGAGAGAGACAAACCACAGTGCAAGTTAAAGTAGACCCTACACTGCTTGAAATTTCACCTTCTTACATCTTCTGGCTGCAGGAATGCATGGAAAGAAGAGTGGGTGTGAGCCCCATGGGGTAGGAGGGGATGGCTGCTGGGTCACATCACCAGGAGACCACTACAAGGAAAGAGGACTAGCTGTTGGACTACATGGAAAGCAGAGAGCTAACTGCCAAGCTACATGCAAAGGAGAGGGGTGGCTTCACACAATGGCAAGGGCCACATGCAAAGGAGAAAGACAGCTGACCGACTGCCCAGAAGGGAGACACATGGCTGCAGGCTACATGGCAAGGAGAGGGCTAGCTACTGGGTAGCCCAGGAGGGACAGAAGTGATGGATTTCTCTTTCTTTTGGTTGCAGAAAGCACCAGTGCAAACCCAGGAGCCCTATTCCCCCTCATGACACAAGTAACTCTGCAGTGGAAGTTACTTGCACCCTACAGGCTAAGGAGGAAAGGGTTCATGACAAAGGTTTTAATTTCCTTTGAACAACATTTCAGGCCTTAGGTCCCTCTTGGCAAAAACATGAGCTTCTCAATAACTCCCTGTGTTCCAAGGTTAGTTGTCCTGGTACCAACTCCTCCTCAGTCTTGTAAAATCTGCATGTCCTTGGTAATGTTCACTCCCATTGATGTGATCGGCTCTGATAGGAGGAATGACTCTTGCTTGAGATGGTTTTAAAGGATAACAAGGAATTTATTCAAAGCTATGTACAAAATCAGCCCATCTTCTAGATGGACTCAACAACAATATCATCATTTACACTCTATCACACTCCAACACAGATTGGTCTTTGAGGCCGCTGAGCCCAATTCACCCCTGGGGTAACCCAACTGAAGTCAATGGACCTACACCAGGGCTGAACTCAGCCGTGTTCTTTCTTCTTTCCTTGTATTCGGAGACTTAGATCCAGATGAATCTTAAATGAATCTTATGTCTTGTCAGGTTGTGTATTCTGGGCTTTAGGCAGCTGTAGAAAATAATTCTTTTCCCCATTTCACAGCAGTCAGATTCATTCTATAATAGGGAGCTCTGGATAAAAACCTTCCAGTGAAGTGGGATCTTGTAAGATGTACCAGCAGTAAGGATGTGACAGGAAGGACACTGACACCAGGGCGTTACAAGCAGAGATGATGTACCATGGCCACGATGCCAGCTGCCAGGTTCTTTGTGCACGTAGCATGACAATACCTATTGCACGCTCTGGTTTTTATTCCTTCCCAACTGAATTACATCAGATCAAAGAGTTAACTTAAAAGCAGCCACACAGAAAGTTGCACAATATAGACTTAAAGAACTCACCAGGTCTGATTCTCCTCTCACTTATACTGGTGTAAATCTGGAGAGGACCAGGCCCTCCATCTCTCCCTCTCATGCTTTCCTCTCAGACTCTCTTTCTCTTTATTCTTTATCATATTTTAAGATCCTTCTTGAGGCTGGATTTCTTGCAGGCCCCTTTGATTTGGCCGGTCGATTCTGTGGGTTGACACTTGCCCGTTAATCTTTGTTACTGCATTTGTATGTACAGCTAGGGGCATTCCTACGTCCTACAGAGAGACACTGCACACTTTTTGCTTCTACAGAGGGCACGACCCTAGGGATGTGACAGTGCACGGAAGGGGTTGAGGCACAAAATCAGGGCAAGACTGATTAAAGAATACCCTTTGGCCTAGGGGAAGATGCACTCAGCTGGGAAGAGCAGCCAGTGAGTTTAAAATCTCCTCTTTTGTTATATTTCTGTGTGGAATTTGCAACTGTTATTGTTGATCAAGAATGGCCTATGGGCACATCTACACCACAAATTAGAGTGTAATTGTAAACTATTGAATCCAGCTAGCATGGGTAACAATAGCATTGAGCATATAGCAACACAGGCTTCAGCGCAGGGTCGCCGGCCTAGTACAAGCCCGCTGGGGAGCCTGGGTACATTCTTGGGTTGCTAGCCCATGCTGCCACATCTTCCCTACCATGCCTACAATTACGCCTTAATTTGTGGTGTAAATGTTTTCTTTATCGCTGCATTCAGGTTGCTGTCTCCCTGGAGGTGGGGGCTTTCTGAGTCAAAGTGCGTTATACGCAAGAGATCAGCCCAGATGATTCTAACAGTCCGCCCTGGCCTGAAAATATCTGACAGCCCAAGCTAAAAGCCTTTTTTAAATCTGTTCATAGCTCTGCAGTGTTTAGTGGGAGGGAGGTGTCGATATTTCAATACAGCAATTGACACCTCCTTTTCTCCCAGCCTGTTAAACCTCTGACTCTCACTTGACTGGCTGACTCAGTGCTTACCTTTCAGTTCGTCATTTACACTTGGAACCAGGCTGGGAGTGCAACTTTGTCCTGTTGTTTCATGCAAATATTTTTTTTCCTTTCCTAACCTGCAGCTATTTCTCTCTCACCCCCCTGCCCTCCCTCCCCACTTTTGTTTCCCCGTAGCTGTGGGTGTGCAAATTAAGCTGGAATTACTCCAACGCAAGTTCTGGATGGCTACGCGGCAGGTAGGAATGGCAGTAATTCTGTGGAGATACGATTTCACCACCTTCCTTTTGCTTGTCCCATGCTATGCACGTTGATTTCTGGTGGCAGTTCCATGAAGGCTTTTGTGAAATTTGTATTAAACAGATTTATGTGGTAGATTAGTTTTAAGTTACACGTTTCTCTAATCCTTTGACGGCTCTAATGCTGCATGAGCCGCAAGTCTGTTCTAGGAACGCTGCGTTAACAATGTCAGAATCCTGGCCTGGCATTAACTCTGCTGCAGCTGACACGTTAATTGTGGAAATATGTTTGCACTCATTCAGGCTTTCGGAACCATAATGGAAAGCTGTAATTTGGGGCACAAAATCTCCCTGTCCTCCTTTACTATTCTGATCTCAGCGATGATGTTGATGATGATGAAATCCTACTAGCCTGTCAAAATAAAAAAAAAAAAATAAAAAAAAAAAGACTTGCTCCAGGCTAGCAGGCCAGGAGAAATTTGCGAGGCTGTGCTAGTTCAGACAGTCTGATCAGACTGAGAGAATTGGGATAACTAGAGCATTTCCTGGGTATGATAAGGAGGAGAATGGAAATGCCTTTTTGTTACCAGCAAGGGGCACTCTCCAAATATTAGGGAATATGGGCAGCACATTGTGGGGAGAAGTCTCATCGGCCTGAAGATTCAAAGAATGAAATGTCTGCCTGGTGCCTGCAGAGGGAACTGTTACCAGGTTAGAATTATTCTGGTTTGAGCTCAGGAAACTTATCCCCATGACTGGAGAGCCTGAGGGGAATGGAAAAGGATTTTTATTGCCATTGGTGGCAGAGGGAGGGCTCTTGGCAGGCTGGAGACTGAGGTGCCCTGCTTGTATGTCTAACAGGATACCTGGCAATAAGGAGATTCCCACAGAGGGAATAGGAGCTCGTTGGAGGTTTATCAAGGGGGGGTTATTGAAAGGAGGTTGTACAAGAACCTTCTGGGGGACATGACCCCACATTCATTCCGGGGGTGAAATGAGCCTGGGAAGAAAGAATAAAGAAGCTGACGGGTGGTTTCTGGGTCAGGGATGAAGCCCTGTTTCTAACACTCACTTGTGTGAAAGAAGAGTTTGCCCGACTTACTGGCACTAGCTAGCGGTTCAATAAGGAGTCATTAATGAACATTTTGTTTTTTCTCTCCACATCTCTCCTGCATACTGCACTGCTCCACACACCCACACTCCCGCCCAGCCCAATGACACTGATGTAAGTAGACAGGAGCTCAGGACAGAGAGATCTCCCAGAGTTCCCCGCTGCGTCCCTGCCTGTGTTGTATGATGCTTTGTTTGTCATGTGTATTTTATATGTCATTGTATGATATATGCTGTCCCTTGCCTCTAGTAGCTGGCGACAGTCTAAGCCCACTTAGCTTGTGTTTTTCTTTGCAGTAACTAAGTGTCTTTGACAAAGCTTAAAGTAGATTGGGTTGAAGCGATTCAGAGACCCACCCAAGAAACCACAGAGCCTGATGTGGATTGGTCCCTTGGGAAGTAGTGATGCAGAAATGTTTGAAGCAGCAGTCCCAAAATAAATGGGGAGCACACATTCAATTATCCCCATCCCTGTGGTTTTCTCATGTAAATTTCCTGCTCTTTTTCGAGCAGAATGAACAAAGGTGATTCTAATCTCATTCCCACTGCTGCAAACCCGGAGTAATGCCAAAAGCTTTAAGAAAGTTCTTCTGGATATTGGGGAGGGATAGCTCAGTGGTTTGAGCATTGGCCTGCTAAACCCAGGGTTGTGAGTTCAATCCTTGAGGGGGCCATTTAAGGATATGGGGCAAAAATCTGTTGGATGATTTAATTGGGGATTGGTCCTGCTTTGAGCAGGGGGTTGGACTAGATGATCTCCTGAGGTCCCTTCCAACCCTGATATTCTATGATCTCACACCTATGCCGAGATGAGAATCTGTCCAAATGCTGCAATGTAAGCATGTAGAGGGGAGCACATGAATTGGGAATGGGTGTTGTGGCCTTTCAGGTTGAAAATAATTCTTCTGGGTTTATTAGGGATTCTCACCTGAATTCTTGGGTTTGGTCAGTTTCTGCTGCATCTCTCTTCTCTGGGTCAGTCCCCAACTGGCCTCTGACTGGATGATACAATCCTAATTGATACATTCAAACTTCACCTTGGAAGACTATCCACTTTTCCATCTGTACATTATTAGAAAACTCTTCCCTGCTGCCCTCATCAACAGGCACAACAACATTATAAATAGATTTAAACTAGAGCTAGGAGCAAACCAACACCCGGGACCTTTACTTTGCAGGAGGGGCTTGAAATCTGAACATGGATCTGGACTTGAATTTTGTAAGTGGCCCCTGACTTTATCTTAGGCTGAACTAAACCCTCAGATCTGAACAGCCTTAACCTTGAGGTGTCTGAAATCTGGATCCAGATATTTGCAGCTTGTACCCATCTCTCATTTACACAAACTCTCACACTCCTGAAATGTTGTTACAGTCTAATGAAATTCCATTGCTGGGCGATGGCGGAGCTGGTAGTTCTGAGAGATCACTTCAACCCCTGAGCTAAAAGACACAATGAGCCAAGAGACACAATGGGCCCAAACTGTCCCTTGGGCTAACTCAGTTGACTTCACTTTGGTTTGTTAATCTTCATCCCTATGGGTAATACTCTTGGGTTTATTACGGCCATATTTCTCAGCTGCACAAACCAGAGCAAATCCAGAGTGACGTCTAGGGCTGCCACTTTTTTGTATATGTCATGTGGGGATGAAATAATCCCATCATGACAAGGCAACATTTGCACCGTCACATCATAACAGTGGACCAGGTAATGTCATTGTCTATTAAACCATTATCAAGATGTGAAGAGCGGATGTAGTTGTGGCGTGAAGATGCAACGGCACAAAGCCATGGAGCCTGAAACAAACTGAAAATTCTTTGATCATCCTTTGAAATACGCTTACAGGACACAGCGTGGCTCCATGGAAATAGCACTCTGTGTTGCAGAACTTGAGATGAGAAACAACACTAACGGTTTTGCTGTGGTTTGAGAGGCCGATTTACCTGCAGCTGTTCAGAGACAGCCAGGAAGGGCAGGCGGAGAGGGGCTTATTTTTTATAGAATTTATTGCAGTTTTAAAATAGTCAGCAGCTGATCCAGAGTAGGCAAGGCCTGTCATCTTTGTCATTATTCTTCCCCAACCTCAGGAAAGCCATAGAAGGAAGGGGACCCCCTGTAGAGAAATTGGCAACACTGCGTCAGCTTTCCCTCCCCTGCCCCCAAGGAAAATAACATTACAAAATAACACAAAGAGACAGACACAAACACGGAATAGTTATGAAATGAATAAGCACTTGAAGGCTTTTGTTACTCACTGTTTAACTCCCCCTGTCCTAGCCAATTCAATGGTGTGACACACGTCAACTTTGGTATCCGTAGATACTTGAATGAAACAAATGGATGGTGCCTGAGGCTATCAGAGCACATTCGCATTCTATTGTGTCATTAGTTGTCTGGAAAAAACACTGCCTGAGAATAATGCATCCCTAAAATGTAATGCCTTTATTTGGTCAAGATGTTATGAGATATGAAAATGCGCCCTACATTTTCTCTCCAATGTATAATAATTTTTGTTATTAATACTAGAGGGTTTGATTCTGCCACCCTTGCACTGAGGGCTTGCTATCCAGTCAGCGTGTGGCAAGCTGGGCTGTGAACGTACAGTTCTCTAGCCTGCCACACGTTAACTGTCCAGGTGGACCCCTCTACAGCACACTAGAAGTTCCCTTAGGTCCTGCTCACAGTGGATTATGGAGGCAGAACCAGGCTTACGTGTAATATTCAGTGGAGACAGTACTGTTTATTTTGAGGAATTAAACTGTGGGTAGAGGGCAGAACCATTACTGGCCTCCTTGGCAGGCGTTAAGTGTGTGCTGCTTAGATAGTCTATTTCAAAATGGTAACTAACTCGTTGACCTGTACCCAGCTGTAAGATGTAGATCCTTTGTCTGATGTCCATCCCCTTGAGGCTAAAGAGATAGACACTGTCATCATTTAATTTCTCCTGTTCCTTTCCAGTGCAGTGGCGTGGATGGCGTGTGTCCGCTGAGCTGTCAGGATGAGGTAAGTTTCAGTGAGTGCGTTAAAGGGTCTCTGTGAGGATTATGGGGTGAGGAGGTCATTGGCAGAGGGCCTGCTCCTGGGAGCCTTTGGCTCCCACTGAAATCAATGGGAGTCAAGGGTGCTCAACACCTTACAAGAGGTGCTCAGCAGGACCACGACCAGAGCCAAACATTCAGTGTAGGGCTTGGCCTAGCACCGAGTCCTGCAGGGTGCGTGTCTGGGTCAGGTGAAATCACCGTGGTACAGCATGTGGGGCTCAGAGTGCATCGATCTCCTCTCTGATTTGGTCAGTAGATTCTAGTGGCTGCTGAGGAGAATGCTTGTTAGAGAAGCCCCTCATGTTTTCCATTCTCCCTGTGTTCATGCCATCCTGGGTTTCCACTGGCTGCTATGCCATTGGACCTCGGCTGTGCTCTGGAGAGAATGTCCTGTCCTGTGAGCAGTGGGGTCAGAGGAGAATCCTCTTCTCATGCTCAGAGAGGGTCTCTTCTGGATCCTGATCTCTCCCTCAGTCTGAGACAATAGGATAAACTGCAAAATCTAGAAGATCAGGATTGCCCATGAAATGGTGGAGCTTGACCAGGGTCCTCTCACCCTTACCCCAGATTTTTTGCCTCTGGAGAATCTGGAATCTTTTTCTCTTGGGAAAAAAAAATCTAGATGGAGGCAGGATCATTTCTAGTGCTTACAGCAGAAGAACTGGTTGTCAGGAATCCTAGGTTCTGTTCTTCATTCTGCCACTGACTCACTGTGTGACCGTAGGAGAATTTAGTCTTTGTGCTCCGTTTCCCCACCTGTGAAATGGAGATCGTAACAAGGGTTAACTCACTATTGTTTGTAAAGCACTTTAACATCTGCAGGTGGAAAGCACTGGATAAATGCAAAGTATTATTACTATTCTATTAAGAAGAGTGCTGTCTGAACTCCCTTCCTTTTCGGACAGTGTGTAGTGTTTTCTTAAATACTGTTTATATTACAGTAATACCCCACACAGACATAGCAAACAACAGGCTCTTTGGGGTAGAGACTACACTTTAAATACTATAGGCAAAGCGGACACAGGGTGGGAAGGGAAATGGAGACAGAGAGGGGAAGTGATTTGCCCAGGGTCACACATCAGGCTAGTGGCAGAGCTGGGAATAGGACCCAGGTATCCTGAGCCCCAGGACAATGTCCTGTCCACTAGGCTATACTACCTCCCCTGTTATACTCGTAACGGTAAACAACCAACCACAACCAAAGTGCCATCTGTAATTTCACTTCCTTTCCCTTTTATCTCTGCAGAATCTGAACTGCTTCCTCATTGATAATAATGGGTTTATATTCATTTCCAAGGGATCTACAGAGGTAAGAGGGCTCAGACCTACTTATGCAATAGAGGCGAGAGTTCAGTTGCATCAGCCTCCAGTTATTCAATATGCAGACCCAAGATCAGGGCCCCGCCACAGCCGAATAGGGCATTCAGCACAGTGTCCTCCCTACACCTGTTTTGAACAAGGGAGTGAGGGTTTGGAGACACAGAACAGGCCCATTTGATCACTTATCCTTCCAAGCACCAGATCAAACAACTGCTGAGGAGGGGTGCTTAGGGCCGATGGGAGGAGATGGAGACAAAGACTCAGCTCAGAGGCTTCACTGTGTTTCATCCAATCTGCTGAAACCCTCCCCCAGCAATTGGTAAGTGAGTGGGGTCTGGAGGTTACAGCCTAGGGCTATGAGTCAGGAGACCTTAGTTCTGTTCCCAGGTGTAGGACTGATTTGGTATATGGCCTTCAGCAAGTCACTCTAGTGCCTCAGTTTCTGCATCTATAAAATGGGGATAGCAATACTTACCTTCCCCTCCCCTCGGGGGTATGGTGAGCCTTAATTAATGAATGCATTAGTGCCTGTGAAGTGCATTGGGACCCTCAGATGGAAGGGTACTAGACAATGCAGAGTGTCGATATCATTCTGTCTCTGGGAGTTGGTTGAAGAAATGACTCTAGCTGAATCATTAAGTAAGAGCAGCCACAGTATAATTAAGCTCAATATCCTTGGGGGAGAGAAGGTACCAAAGGCCTCGTGACACTGAACTTTAGAAAGGGAATTTTTAAAGATAATGAAGAAACTCGTCAAAAAGGTTTTTATGGTAAAAGTAAAGAAATTAAAATCCTTACCCTGACCGTGGAGTCTACTGACATAATCTACGAGAGTCACAAAGGGCATTCATTCCCCTAAACTAAAACAGAAGCAGGAAGGCAAGAAAAGAAACAGGATGGTTAAGTGGCTGGGTTCTCAAGCCAAACAAGTGTCCTTCAGAAAATGGAAATCCAGTTCAAGTAAAGCCAATAGAAAGGAGCATAAACTATGGCAGGTACAACGTAAGGTAGTGTGACATTTCCCAGAGTACAGTCTGGACTGTTGAACAGCTGTGTCCCCTCCATTCTCCAACCTGGGATGCCTCTTACACTGCTTTGCTGTAAGAACATCCACTCCTGGCCTGCTCACCCACAGCCTCTAGCATGTAAAATCACTCCCAGCTACCAAGTATTGAGCGCTGCTCACTAGCCACTCATGAATTAACTTGCAGAGCAACAACAGCAAGTTCTCTAGTCCCAGACTTATCTCCCAGAGCTATGCATCTTATACTGTCCAGCACACTACTGAACAATGCAAGCTCATAGAAAGTCCATCATTTCATGAAAGGAAAATGATATGCACCAGCCTTGTTAGGCCAAATGGAGTTTCCTACACACTTTAATCCAAACATACTGGTTAAGATAAAACAACAAGAGAAGTTTATTAACTACAGAAAGATGGATTTTAAAGGATTGCAAGTGATGATGCATAAAAGTCAGGATCGGTTACAAAAAGAAAAAAAAAAGAGTAAAACGCAAGCTAATGGTTAACTTAAACTAACAAAATTCAAAGCAAAGGTTTTCCTCACCATACACTGCAGTAAATTTCACAGGCTGGGTCTCTTTTCAGTCTGGGACACCTCCCCTTAGTTCAGTGTCCTTCAGATATTCATTGATGTTATGAGCAGAGAGAAGGAAGGAAGAGAGGTGAATTGGAGGCCGCTGTCTCTCCTTTTTATATCACTGTCCCCTCTTTGAGGCAGCTGGAGTGCTGGAGACAAATAGTCTCTTGTGTATGTGAGTTCTGAACCGTCCCTGTGATGAAATGTAAATTTCTCATTCACACCTTCCTGTTGTTGGAGAATGGCTGCTTAAGCCATAATAGCTCTTTAACACCGGACTGGGTGTTGGTCTGTCCTTTGTTCCTGAGAAACTGGTTTGGGCCTGCTTTTCTTAACTTGGAGCATGTTACAGCAATGTTATACAGTAGAATCCTATAACTTTACATACAATGATACATGTATTTTACTGGAACACTAATGTTCAGCGCATTATGAGTTTTCAAATGATACCTTACTTTGTACAAAAATTATCATAGTCTGGTAAAAATTGTGACCATAGTGGTATAGACTGTCACAGGTAGAAATTAATAAGGAATTTGAAGAGCAAAAAGCCAAAGACAGAAACAAATAAATTCTTTAAGTAAATCAGAAGGAAGAAACTTGTGAGAGAATTTGTACATCTGCTGGACTATTGGGGAATAAAGAGAACAAGTAAGGACAATTGTTGAGAAACTAAGGTCCAAATTCTGATCCCCTTACTTATGATGAGTATCATCTTACTCCACTGAGCTCAGTGGGACTGTTTGTGATGTAATGTGCTACTCAGTGTGGGTAAGGTTGACAGAATCTGGCCCTAAATTATTTCTTTATGTCTATCTTCACTAGAGACGATCCTGGGGAGATACATATCCCAAACCTACTCTTTTCAGATAATGAAGATGGGGCACTCTCAGGGATTCTGATGTCAAAAAAGGAGATGCAGGAACAAACTCAAACTGAAGAGCAGTAAGTCAGCATGGCCAGATGGCGTAGAAAGGAGCTGGAGAATGAAATGTTTAACCTTCTAACAAAAATATGCAACTTCATTAAAATCCACCCTATGCCAGATTACCAGAAAGTTGCAGATATTGTACCTGTCTTTTAAAAAGGCAATGGGGTAATCCTGGGAATAACTGCAGCCTTACTTCAGTACCAGGTACACTAGTTGAAGTGATACTTAAAAACAGAATTTTAAAACACCCAAATGGATATGACAAACGGTACAGCTTCTGTAAAGGAAATTCTGTCTAACCTTCTAGAATTCTTTGCGAGTGTCCACAAAATAGTACATAATGGAGAACCAGTTATAATTTATTGGAACTTTCAAAAAGCTTTTGACAAAATCCCTCACAAGGGGCTGCTAAAGAAACGGTGTAGTTACGTGGTTAGAAATAAAGTACTGTCATAGATCAGAAAGTAGTTAGGAGACAGAAAACAAAGAATAGGAATAAATAGTCCATTTACAACATAGAAAAGGTTACCAATGGGGTGTCCCAAGGTTCCATAGTTAGACTAGTGTTGTTTAATATATTTATCAATAATCTGGGAAAGGGAAGGAGGGAAAGAGCAAGTTGGTGAACAGTGCAGATAAAATTATTTAGGTAAGTCAAGATTAGGGAAGACTGTGGGGAACATCAAAATATCTTAATGAAGCTAGGCAAATGGGCAATACAGTGGCAGTTGAAATGCAGTATTGACAGATGTAAGGTAATGCACATAGGAAGGAATAATTTGAACTACACGTATACATTTCTGGGCTCTAATTTAACTCTCAGAAATGAGACCTGGGCAGCACTATGGATATCTCAATATAAACATCTGCTCAGTGTACAGTGATGTCAAAAAAGAAAACAAAATGTTACTATGCATAAAGAATGATGTAGAAAATAATATTGCAAATATTGTAATGCCATTAGGTGAGTCACTGATATGCCTTCACCTGAAATGGTGGGTTTAGTTCTGGCCACCCTCTGGCCAGAAATAGAGGGGCTTCAGAGATTGTTGATAAAATGAGGCATGGGGAGAATTCCACATGAGGAAAGATTGAAAAGCTCAGGTTGGTTTAATTTAGAGAGAAGATGAATATTTACACCTATTTACTTTTTTTCATAATGCAAGAACTAATGGACAGTTAATAAAACAGAAAGTAAAATTTATAAAAGAAAACCTTTGTTCCATTACATTCTAATAACCTGTGGAACTCACTGCCACAAGATTTCACTGAGTTAATAACTTAGTAGACCTCAAAACAGCATGGTCATTTAGATGGTTAATGAGACCACCCACAACTCTATTAGACAGATTAAACAATATAGAAAGGATATAACCCTTATGCTTCAGGGTATAAATCAGCCACCAACTGAGAGGGGGATAGGAAGGAACTTGTCCTTTGGGCAGATTTTTCTGTAAGTCTCCACTGTGGGGTTTCTTGCACCTTCCTCTGAAGCATCTGGAACTGGCTACTGTCAGTCACAGGATATAGGAATAGATGGATCCCTGGTCTGCTCTTGGAGGGAAGTTCCTATGTTCCTACTGTTTGTAGGTCTGGGGTGTCTTTTTGACTAAGTTCGACTATTTCTTCACCTTGACCCTCACATGCTTTTAAAAAAAAAAAAGTTACATCCCTGAAGCCATTTGCCCATGGACAAGGCAACGGCAGACTGCTTAATGCCATTACTGCTGTCAGTTCTGAGCACATGGCACCTGTATTCCTCTTGTGCTGCCTCTGCATTGCCCCTGGGTCTTATGGAAAGTGGGGTTTATGCAAAGCTGTTCTCTGGAAGATCTGACGAGTGAAAACCTGTCATTATCATGGATTTAGATAAATTATAAACATTATCCGCGTGCCTCTGAGATCAGGCATTCTGGCAGGCTCCAGTGCTATCAGCTACTCTAGCTATTAACTCCCCAGAGCTGGGGAAAATCATCATTTCCCTTCTCAGTCCACAGCTTGCCAATGACTTTTTGTTCATGTTTCATTTGTATTTAGATTGGCTCTTTATTTCACCTGTTACCATTGGTCTCTAAAGTGTTGATTCCTACATGGTATTCCTACAGCTTTTTCCTCTGTGACAGACATCAAACAAATGGCAGCTACCCAGCCAGGAGAACACACAGGCAGTAGATTTACTAAATCAGGAGCCTGAGGTCTGGGTAGGGCAGCCTTCCTGGTCAGTGTCTGCACACTGGACATCTCACCACATTGCAGCCTTTCCCAGCCTGGGTCTCCACACAGTACAACTCACCACACTGCAGCCTTCCTGGATCTCCACATGTGGGGCATCTTAACACAGAGAAGCGTTCCTGAATCTGGATTTCCTTGAGGGAACAAGTCAGCCAGCTTGCCACATTGTGTCCCTATCGAGTTAGCTATGTAGGTTATATGTGCCTAGTACTTGATGCTGATGCCAGTGTTTTTCAAGTGTACGCCATTTAAATACCGAGGCCAATGTCTGTGTATAAAAGAGAAGGACAGAAGTTCTGCCTGCAGTGCTCATCATGCAAAACAAACCAGGAAGCGCATCAGATCGTGAATGAGTCCGTGCGGGAGAGTCGAGTGAGTCATGCAATACTGTGTGTCTCAAGAGGAAGTTCTCCCTGCACCCCATCTGCACCTCAAGGCAGCACAAACTGTTACTGCTCTAACATGAACAGTGGTGGGCCCTTGTTCCCATTTCTCCCTGCATTTGGCCAAAGATAGGCAACCAAGGAACCAGCTTCTTGTTTAAAACAAATAGAACCTGCCAACAGTGTGACACTTCCCAGCATATATTTCAAGATAAAAATACAGGAAAATGCCAAAGTGTGTGTGTTCTTACAGTGATGACATGAGCAACTGGGATTGAATTGCCTTAGCTACTCCAGGAGCTGTGAGATCTTCTCCCCCATGTCTCCTCACTCCATCCTGCTGCTGTCCTTTGCCTTGATCTGACACCACCCCCTGTCCAGGGGAGATAGCCTAGCTTTGATCCATGTGCTGATAACAGGGATTCCGCCCACAGATCCCGTATAGAAGATAGTTTTAAGAACAGACAGTGGCTCATGCAAGCCAGGCCTCCCTGTGCATTGGGAACTGGAGGGGAGAGGGTGGTCCAGTTACCTCTTCCCAAAGGAAGCAAGAAGCTTAGTGAAAGCAGAGAGCTGCAGAAGGTTAGGAGTTGGGCTTTCATGAGTGTAAAGAGTTGCTTTGATAAAGAGCCATTTGGGTTTACTAAAAATGGAGTTCTCATGTTATTATCAAGCACACAGTACATAAAAAGTACCTAGCTTTGAAAATCTAGTACTGTAGGTCAAAAGGCCAGATCATTGCTGTACTTTCTGGGCCTTATTCTCATTTATACTAAGGATCCATTAAATGTTTACATTGCCACTGCAAATGAGAATCAGGCCCTCTGTGCTCAGGAGGAATTGCAGGAACTCAGTAAGACGTCCCAATATTCCTGAACTAGACAGGCCGCACTCAGTCCAACAATGGCCCTTTGACCTTGCCATGCCAGCTGCAGATTATGTTGTGTTAAATCCAACTGTTCTGGCTCTCATTACTGCTACAGAATGGTATTAAATGAAGCAGCTGGACCAATAACCACCATAATCAGATTGAAAGAGCCAGTGAGGTGAAAGAGCTACAGCTTGCTCAGACACCTTTGACTGTGTCTGAGATTATTAAAATCCAAATTGTAGGGGGGGGAAGAGGTGACTTTATGCATATGTATTTGTAGTGGGAATGTCTGGCTCTTTAAGAGTATTGGGAGGAGATTTTTAACCAAGTATTACTAATGTTGGGTGATTATTATCAAATGATTCTTTGGTAAATCCTCCTGGGGCTTCCTAGTGGAAACGGTCACACTCACAGTAATGAAGAATTAATCTCATTCGCTATTGGCTGCTAAACTAGTTTCTCATTAGAAAAGGGAATTTTTGCCCAAACTAGAATGGTTCCATAATATATGGGAGACAATTCTTATGGAAAAAATTAACCCATCAGATCTGTACACTGCAAAATGGACAGAAGACCAATAAATAACTATTTAGTTACCCTATCCCATCCTCAGAGAAAGCACACTTGCCTGAAAACAAACCATTGCTTTGACAAATGTTAAACATAACTATAGTGGACTTACTCTGGTTTGTTAGTAAGTAAAGGCAGAATTGTTGAGTTCAAGAAAATCTCCAGAGGCAACATACATTGACTTCTGTAAAGACTTTTCATCCTCTGATATTGTAATAACCTGCCCAATAGATAATCCTGACTATATCTTTGCACGTCTCTCAAACAAAAAGTGATACAGCCATTTTTGTACATGTTAATATTGCATCTTTGGTACCTGTATGGCTGTGATTTGTAAAATTGCTTATGGTTCCTAAATAAACATGTAACTGCACATACACATTGTAGCTCTCTGTCCCCCTATAGCCGCTGAACCACACAGAGATTTAAGAGTCCACTACAGATTTTGAGCTAACATAGCTGAGTCTTTTAGCTCAGGCAGGAGAGGCACATGCTTTCAGAACCCGTGAGCACAAGTCACAAATATTCACAAGAGAATACAGGCCCCACCTCAAACTTCAGCCAGTCAAAAGCTGGAGCTACGTGATACCTCTTTAAAGGTGCTTGTTGGTTATTAACAGTATTCATCAGGTAGTAGATCCTACAGCTTCTAGACAGAATGGATTGGTTTCACCAGTAGAAAGCTTAGGAACTTTATCACTAACATTTCTCTCTTCCCTCTCCCCTTTTATCACTTTGTCTGTGCAGACTGGAAAATTTTTTGGTGAAGTGGACGGCTCAGTAATGACCCAACTCCTAAACATGGGAATGTTCAGGCAGTAAGTGGAGATCTCCTCTGTACCTTTCTTCTGTTAGAAGGTGATAGAGGTGCGGATGAAATGTATTATCCCAGTGACAGTGGTATAGCTGGCTATAAGGACAATGAGGGAAACCATAAGGTGCGGGGCAGGAAGTTCAATTATTTATTTCCCTACTGTCTATTTTCCTACAGACGCTCTTTCACCTAGCATCTTCCCCCTCACACTTCTTGTTTTCTCCCTTCTCCTGCTTACTGGATCCAGCTACTGCAAAGCATTATGGGATCAACTAGATCCCAAACTGCCCCGGTCTTGCACTATGTGAACTGCACCTATGTCTTAGTCCCATATGTTAGAAGGTGCTATATATATATGGAAAGCTTCTCTGCTTTTGGTTGAAAGCTTTTCAGTTTCTCATCAGACCTTGAAAGACTTTAAATGATTGGCTGGCTGCCAGAGATCTCCCCAATAGCTACAATACAGTTGGTTGAAAATGTTTTCCCTTTGAATGTCCTTCACTGGTTTAGTTGCACACAAATTCTTCAGTAAATTCAAAAACAAATTAAACATTTAGATGGATTAAAAATGGCATCTGGAGTAACTCAGGTAGATAAATTATAATCCTCCTGTTCGAGAGCATACAATGGTCACCATCTGAATTCAGGAAGAAATTTCCTCCTATGGTATAGTATTGCACAGTGTAGCCTATGTTAAGTAAAAATTAGGTTTTGGCTTAAGTTAGCCTAAGTGTAGAAGAGTATGGAGAAATTTAAGTTGCTAGTGTAAGAAAAGTTAGAGAGAAATTGAAAACAGTAAAATAGAAAAATTGAAGTTGGCTACAACGTAACTTTGCTCATGTCCTTGCTATGTTTTGCTTATAACTAGTTTTAGCAGTGTTTTAATGTGTTTTTTAAAATGATAAATGTTTTATTAAAATGTTATCTATATTAATAGCATGAAAATACATTGTAATAGATGTCAATTTAAATAATGCGCTATGTAAAAAAACAATAAAAAGGTGGCAAAAAAGTGAATATAGTAATAAGTGGGTTTAATGTTAATTATTCTTATAATAGTTATAAAAAAGTCATTGTTAAAATGGAGGAGAGTTCCAATCAATATCAAAAAAGTACCGTTAGGTTCCAAGCTTATAAAACTTCACTTTGCTCTGTTGTCAGTGGACTAATCACCCATTGACATACTATTTCACGGTCAAGTGTAAGTAGAACTGTAGTATTGTGTAAGTAGTAATTGCATGCCTGTTTGCTTAACTAATCATTTTTCTTTTGAATCAAGTTCAGTTTTATCATTCACCGTGTCACCTAGTGGTCCTTTGCTAAATAGATTGTCTGTAACCAACTGAGGGCTCTAATCTGAAAACTAAGTTGTGTTTTGTTGCACCCTTTTCTTTAACAAGTTCATATTAATTGGGAACATTTCAACATAAAAGTTACAGCAGCTACAACACCTCTCTTGGCAGCATCCAGCATTAGCCACAGACAGGACAGTGGACTAGTTAGACCATCAGTCTAATCAAGCATGGCAATTCTTATGTACAAAAATATATCCAGGATATACCCTGAGTAAGAAAAAAAATTTGCTCACACTTGAGTGACCATCTCATTGATGGTCGCACTTCTTGCTTTGACTGTTTGCTTGTTTTGCTTTGATTTTATAGGGTGACGATGTACGACTATCAGGCCATGTGTAAAATGCCCTACCATCATCACAGTGGTGCCCGGCCTCTGCTCAGTGTACGTATCTCCCTACAGTCAGCCCATTGCATGAATGCTCATCACTAGTTTGGTCCAGAACTTCTCTAGTGCCTTGGAACACATTCCTGTTAAGAGATAAGGAGTTGTTTGTTCTCAAGTGATGAGAAATTCAAACTTGACAGATCAGTGCAAATCCATTTCCTTCAGCCATTTACATGTGGCCCCATCATGCCTATCAGGCATATAGGGAACCACAGAAATCTATGCAATGAACTGTCACCAGTACAGTGCCAGGCTTTTCTTAGGTTACAATCTGTAGATGAAAGTGGAGGAATTGACTGGGCATTGCAATGTCGGCATCAGGAGAAAGTCCTCTAGGAAGAGGCATTCAGACTATCATGGAAGAGATGAAGACATGGAATAGAGGGGACCAAGACTAAACTTTCTGAGAATAGCACATAGGTAGATTGGTCAATAGGCAATCCACTTTAAAGAAAGGCTGGATGGATTTGGGGTTAAGATGCTGTGTTATTAAAAGCAGACAACACTAACTGTAGTGCAAGGCTGCTAATGCCGCAGCTTGTACCAAAAGTACCACTTACCAGCAGATAACAGCATTCTAAACTGGCATTGTCCCATTTAGTAGGTTTATTTCCTCCCTGCTCTGTGCTCTCAGAGGTCATCCATACCAGAGGAAAATCATCAAGTAATTACATCTTCAAAGTCCCATGCACATTTGGGATAAACTCTCTGACCCAATGTGAGTGGAGGTGTGGAGATATTATTGGTGGCAAGGAGACTCCACTGGCTTTTGATGCATTTTGCAAATTTCCCATTGATTCCAAGAGCTTAAATTCTAGCCCATCTCCAAGAGTTTGCTTGATAGAGAGAACCTAGATGAAATATTGAGTCCTGCAGGATGACTGTCTTTTCTGTGAGCAGAACTTTATGCTATTTCTTTTTTCTTTTTCTCCAGCCCATTTATACCTTTCTTGCTGCAGTGAAGTGGCTGATAAGTGATTTCCTCGTGTGAGTACAACATTTTGGGAGGATCACACCAACAGGGGAGAGATCTAAGACAAATACAAGCACAGGCTTGTTGTTAAGACATGACTACAGTAGAACCTCAGAGTTACAAACATCTCAGGAATGGAGGTTTGTAACTCTGAACAAAACGTTCTGGTTGTTCTTTCAAAAGTTTACAACTGAACATTGACTTAATAGAGCTTTGAAACTTTACAATCCAGAAGAAAAATGCTGCTTTCCCTTTATTTTTTTAGTTGTTTACATTTAACACAGAACTGTATCGCGTTTGCTTTTTTTTTGGTCTCTGTTGCTGCCTGATTGCATACTTCTGGTCCCAAATGAGGTGGGTGGTTGACTGGTCAGTTCATAACTCAGGTGTTCGTAAGTTTGAGGTTCTACTGCATAGGCATTTCTGTAGCATTCATCACCATAGTACCTGAGCACCTCACCACAGCCCTGTGAAACTCAGAAGTACTAATATTCCCATTTTGCAGATTGGGAAACAGAGGCACAGAGTGGTCATGTGATTTGCCCAAGGTCACCAAAGTGCAAAGTCTGTGGCAGAACCAGAAATTTCACCTAGATCTCCCAACTCCCAGTGCAGTTCCTTTAACCACTAGACCATCCTTCCTTTTCAGATTTGACTAGGATCAGTTGAGAGCAATCGTTCAGTTGAAAAGAGATAAAGAAAGAAGAAATTAGTCTGTTCAAATAAGGATCCTAGTGCCATGCTGGAGACTATACCCTGTGTTTCCTGCACATGGTGCAGTTTAGGAGGGGGGGGAGGGGAGAGAAAGAGGTTTAAACAGGAGCAGTGGAGTCAGCTTCCCCTCAGATTGAGAGGAAGTTCAGATCTACATCTGGGTCCAAATGTTGCAGCTTCAATCAATCTTTACATTGGGCCCAAACTGAAGCACTGAATCTAAACCAGGGCCGGCTCCAGGCACCAGCTGAGCAAGCTGGTGCTTGGGGCGGCAGATTGTTGGAGGCGGCATTCTGCCCAATCCTAGGGCAGCACGGCCGCTTTTTTGTTGTTGTTGTTCTTGTTCCGCTCCGGCCGCCCTGTAGGGGGC